CTCGGAGACGAGCCACAAACAGGCCAACGGGTTCAGTCACACAGACAACCACAGCCAGTCGCTCTTTGAGAACGGGGTGGTGGGCCGCTTGGCGTCCGAGCCCTGCCGTGACATCTCCCTCTCGCCCTCCATCCGCAGGCTCGTCCCCTCCTCCGGCTCCTTCTCAGAGGCCTCCTCCGAGGACTCCATGTCGGAAACCTGTGGGCCCCTGGACGTTCGCCGGGGCCTCAGCCTGGACTCTGATGCCGGCCTGAGCAACGAGGATCTGAGGAGCGAGCGCAGTGAGTCGCCCTGCACTACCTGCCATCCAGCCGGTCTCACAGCCCCATCCGGCGTGCCGCGCTCAGACTCTATGGCTGGGTTAGACCTGGATCTGGGCCCATCCATCCTGGAGGATGTCCTGAGTATCATGGACCGCTACAAGACTGAGGACAACCGCTGTGAGCTGTGAAGAAAGATGAATGTGATGTACAGATATTTTTTTATACATGGTTTAATAAATCCTTAAAAACTTAAACACTAACGGAGGACAAGGGATGGAGGGAAGGAGGGAAGGAGGGATGGGAAGTGTCTTTTTGAAGATTGTGTTTAAAGGACAGATGTAAGAGAGGAACGTGGACGTCGCTGCCCGACATGACAACAAGGCAACAGGCTGGTCCTTTAGAGCCTTCATCAAACCTCATACACATTTAAACTGTAAGCTAACAAAGAGAAGAACTGCATTCACCTTGATATCACAACACATTCCTCTTTTTCTCTGGACACCCGCCGCTACCCGCCGTGTATTGTCTCCTAATCTGTCTCGTACTGAGAGTTTTCTGCTCGTTAATGGTTAACACGTTTCCAGCTGAGTCGGATAAAGTGCAGACTGACCTGGAGAGAGAAAAAGGGGAGAAATGAGCACCTGTGGACAACATTCAGGACTCGCTTATCCGTCATGGAAACCACAGCTACTAATAACATGTACAACAGCAGCAGGGCTCAATCATAAACTGAGCTACAAACACAGAGTTTTTATGCTGAAAGCCATATTCTGTCCTCATTTTGACTGCCGGAAATGTCATTTTCTGAACTAAAATGTGTCTGATTGTTAATATCTTCACTTGTTTACTGTAATGCTTCAATGCCAGATGAAATGTGAAGAACTTCTGATTTTACTGTCCTTCTGCGACGGATGGAGACGAAGCTAAAGTGGCGTCTGTCTGCCCTCTAGTGGCGAACAGCAGCTCCGACACTTCAGTGGCAGATTTATTTTGATCGGAGAGAAACTGAGGAAGCTTATTCTTGTAGTTCAACTAATAAAATGCTCTAAGTGTAAGAAATGTTGCTGCTTTGTAGATCATCAGATCTTTTTAAAAATCCCTCCTCTTCCGTTGTTGTTGGCTCACTGTCGGCCTCCATAACATTCACTGTCTGCATTATCACAGTAGCCTATTATTCAAATGTCATTTATGCTGTATATATATATATATACATATCACTGTAAATGTAAAAATAAAACGTTCCTTTAAAGAAAACCGAGGCTTTGTGGACAATTATTAACACACAAACATAAATGAAGGAGCTGCATATCATATATTTAAAAAAACAATGGTATTAATAATCACATAGATATCTCTTCCTGTGTTCAGACCACACACATAACATGACTGTACTTGATAATAATTGATAATTAATTCAGTTAATTGTTTTGAAAACAGTCAATGGCAACCACTACTTTTATAATGTTATTGTTTTATAAGCAGTTATTTTTTAGGTTGGTAAATTCTATTGGAGGTGGTCATGGGTGCTTTTATTTTGAAAAATAATGATTATAGCATCCCATAAACCTGAAGTATTTCTACGCTGTACTACTAGAATATGTCAATAAGTTTGTGAAAACATGATTAAATACATATTTGTGTGAGGATATGCATCATCAGCGTAATATAACTGAAATATTAAAGGTTTTTATCTAGTGGCCACAGAGTTGAACTACACCTGTGTGTCTTCTGACAGTTTTGTTTTTAATATCTGAATTATTGGTTCTTTAGTTGGTTGTTAAACATATATTTTGCGTGTTAAATGATTTTATAATATATAAATGTTGTCCTTGTATTTTGTAGTTCCTCATTATGGCCATTAGGGGGCAGAAAATACTTAATTACTGATCATTGGTGTGACTGCGCCGTTAGATTTACGTGTATTTGTCGCCACCCGGTGGTTTCAGTGTGACATTACAACACAGCCCGGTGAATTAGTAAGATGCTCGTCATTTCAGACATTTTCCACTTCCGGGTAATCCTTTCAAAATACAGTGACAAAACTAAAGCAATTAGAAATTAAGTGACATAAAAAGACATTATCACGTCAGCTGTTTAAATAGGTTCACATGATCGACGATTTACAGTGACGTTATAAAGATGGAGAGACCAGTCAGTTATGTGAGATTGTTTCGGTCACTTTATTTTGTACCTTTATTTTGATAGTATTCACAGGAAGTGTTAGAAGTGACGTCAGTTTTACTAATTTAATGTGTTGCAGTTCCACAGTTTGACCACTGGAGGGCAGCAAACACTCGTTATTCTTAATCTGAACTCATGGTAACGGCAGATAACGGTTGAAACCTAACAGTCAAACTAGCGTCAGTGATAGCATATT